AAAAAAACAATTATTTTTTCAGGTGATTGCTACTTCCATGTCGCAACTCACTCAGAAATTAACAAGTACCAATCGAGATGGAGAAGTGATTTTAAGCATCAGCGATGAACAAAAAATTCAGTACTTAAGCCAAAACTTTGAAGCAGGCAAGTCCAAAAGACTTAAAAATAATGAAAAAAATATAGATAATAAAGAGTTTGACACACAAATAAAGTGAGTCCATAATTTTAATATGTTCCATTTTTAATATAAAATGTTACCTAAAATAAGACGTAAAAATTATAGGTTTCACTTTTTCTTATGGTCAAAATTTAGATATAACAAGTTGCGATTACAATTGATTATTGTACTTTACAGATGCATACAAATATGGTTACGATGTCAACCCACATGGACAATTTCATCACGAAATACGTGGCCTACATGGGATTACCTATGGATGTTATGGCTACGTTGATCCCTTTGGCCATCTAAAAACAACGTTTTATATCAGTGACGGATGGGGTTATCGCGTTGTTCAACCAGGGAAAGACGTGGAACTTTTCCTTCACAAGCATGAACATCATGAAAACGGAGACAAACATGATCATCACGAGCATCATGGTGTGATTACACCATGGCGAGAGTTACATTTCCCCATGGTGTGTGCGCAATACACAAGCACGAACATTCCATCAAGTGAAGGAAGTATGTAAATGAAGGTATATGTGATCTAACAGTATAGTTCCAGAATTGCAGAAATAAAAAAAGAATACAAATATCTCATAACAAACGTTATATTGTATTTTTTAAATTGAAGTCGTTTCCCATGACATCAACACATTTTATATATCTATTAAATATTCGAAACTTTTTTTAAAGTCTATATAGTTGCAATTCTGTTTAGAACAGTCATCACATTCCTCTAAAAAGTCTTCGATGTTTTGAAAATATTTATCTTTCTAATAAGTCGAATCTATGTACATGTTATATAATTATAAAACTTTATTCAACTTCTTTTATAAAACGTTATTCAATTTCT